CAACTTTCCCGCTCCTCTGATGCTGCCTGGCCTGCTGTGTTCCTCCAGCTCCACACAGTGTTGTTTCTGACTCCAGCTTCTGCGGTTCATGTCATCTCTGAGTGATTTATTCACAAGAATAGTCAGGTTATGCGAGAACTATTTATTTACATCACATGGTAGACCGCAGCTTGAGTACACCATACAGTTCTGTTTGTCACATTACAGAAAAGATGTGATTACACTGGAAGGAGTGCCAGGGATTTACCAGGATACTGCCAGGACTAGAAATTTTTAACTGTGAGAAAAGATTGGATAGGCTTGGTACAGGGGAATCTCAAAAGTAAATTTTAAAATGATGATGGGTGACTTAAAAACTTACGATAGGCTTAGATAGAGTAAATAGGGATGGCCTATTAACAGAAGGGGTGTCAAAAATCTTGTGGCCATAGATTTCAAGTAAATGATAGAAGGATTAGAGGGGTGATGAGGCAACTTTTTTTTAAAATTCAGACAGCAGTAAAGAGCTAGACCTCACTGCATGAAAGGATAGTTGGGTAAAGCTCTCACTGTATTCTGAATGTATTTAGATGTCTGCTTGAATAACAATGGTTTACAGGGCTACTGTCTAACTGCATAGAGGTGAGATTATATTGCGTAGCTTTTTGCTGATTAGCATGGACACAGTTAGCCCAATGACTCAGTTCTGAGGAAGGGTCACCGGACCCGAAGCGTTAACTCTGTTTTCTCCTTTACAGATGCTGCCAGACCTGCTGAGCTTTTCCAGCAACTTTGTTTTTGTAGCCCAATGACTTGTTAGTCTGTTGCAGAGTTTCCATGGTAGTATGATTTTTGCCTTGTCCTTACATTTAGAGCTTGTGTGGTCAATTTTGTTTGATTTTGGGGATTTATGTTATTGGAGACAAAAATCATGAAACTTATGATGGCCATAGCACATTTGGAGTTGAATAGCATACAGTGTTTTAAACTGAACTAATATTCAGTATAATTTGTTCCAATATACATGTTGTTTCACTTGATTTGCAATGCAGTTGTACTTAATTTATTTCATCTTACTGCAATTATTATATCCTCAGTTTGCATTATACATTCAACTAACCCATATTCCAACATTTACTTTTATAGGTTTGTTACCTTAAAAATAATGCTGCATTAAAGTTTTGGACATTTTAATGTATGAGGTTTCAACAGTATTGCTTATTGAACCAGCTGATATATCTTTATGTAATGTACCACTTGTGCAGACTTTCTTAGAGAGTAAGGGAGAGTTACAAAATTTATAAAAGGAGTGTTTCTGATTTGAATACTGTGATAGAAAAATAGCATTTTAAGGGATGGAACACTTCATTCTTTGGCTTTCTTTCTTAAATTCATTATAATGTAAACCGGTTAATATTACAAGATTTTACCTGCAGAACTCACAAGAGCAGAGCTTCAGCAGTTTACCCAACCACTGCAAAATCTAGGTTGTGTTCTGGCTAGCATAACATTTATATGTGTTATGGTTTAATCCAGATGATGCAATCTTTGTTAATTACGAATATTAGAGAATGTACATATTTTGGAATTACTGAGTAGTATTTATTAATGCATTTGTTAATACAAAAGTGAAATAATATTAATATAAATTCTGTAATATACGTGTCTGGTTTATTAAATAGAAAAGTAAACTCGTTTATTAAAGTGATAATACAGTCATTGTAATTCATCTTGTTTCATTACCTCAATGACTTAAACTTAGTATATCTAAAGGTTTGGTCTTCATTCAGAAAGTTTAGATTTAATCCTTAACTTTCGCGGAAACCTGAGCCTTGCAGCCCTTTTATATCTGACATTCTTCACTAGGTAGCTGTAGGAGTGGCTTGTTGAAATCCTGTCCTGCTGGATACATTAGACTGTCAACTGGTGTGTAGTGACCTTGGCGATTGACAGGGAGAATCCTATTGTAAGTGCTCCCAATTCAAGTTGAAGGAGACTGGTGCACCCTTGTAGAGCTGTAGTGAAGGAGTAGAAAGATAGCATAACTTGTGGATGTGCAGCACCTTTCAAGACATGCCATAATGCTTCACAGGTGAAGTACAATCATTTGTGCAATGTACAGCAATGTGACAGCGAATATGTATGCAGTAGGTTCCACAAAAAACCAAGATAAAAATGGCCAAATGATGTGTTTTATTGTTGCCAATTCAGGAATAAATATTGACCAGTACACCAGGAGGATTGTTCTGCTCCTTCTTGAAAAGTCTCAAGAGATATAATGCAGCCTAGAAAGGGTCGACAGGGAATCAGTTTAATGTGCCGTGTGAAGGATACCTTTGATATTGCAGTACTCTCCTCAGTATGTGAATTGTCAGAGTGAGTTAGTTTTAAATGAGGACTCAGACACAGGTATGTCACCATTGAGCTATTGGGTGTGGAACTGGTAGTGCTGGGCTCAAATGGTAATGGGGGAAGCAGTGCAGACAGGGATAAGATGTACTGTTACTTTACATATCCTGATAAATATTTGGTTTGAAAATTGTGCATTGTTTAAGAAGAGTTCTTGAGCATCTATACATATATAATTGTTACAAATTATATATTTTCTGTGTTCAGCAGCTCATATCACATTTACCTTTGTAATTATTTGATTTTTCAGTCATAAATTAATCAACACATTCATTACAGAAACACCAATCTGAAACTATATGTTGATGTATATCTCTTTATTAACTCTTGCAGTACACAACGGCAGCAATGGAGTGCATGCGACAGTATGTAAGTGAACTGCTAGACTTTATAGCTGATATGCATACACTGACCAAATTGAAGGTAAGTTTAAAAAAAAATTCTGTATCTGCATTTATGATCTTGAAGTTCCATCACAATGCAGTGGGAATGGGTTGGAAAATTTGGCTACTGACCTCAGGTGTCTGAAAATTGGGTTTCACATTAATATGAAGGCATTTTTAGCTTTAGAGAGATGGAGTCTCCCATTAAAGATGGAGATGAGAAATGCTTTTTCTCAAAGAGTAGTTAAGTCTGTGGACTTCCCTTCTTCCACTGCGAGTGGGGCAGGTTCATTGATGATTTTTTTAAGGCTGAGTTAGATTCTTAATTGACAAGGCAATCAAAGTGAGATGGACAGGAAAGTAGAGTTGAGGTTACCAGAAGATCAACCATCATCTAAGGATGGAGAATGCTCAAGGGGCCCAGTGGCCTATTCCTACTCTTAATTATTTGTTCATGTTTGGAACAGACGGCAAATATAAATTTTTTACACAGAGAATTGTGAGATAGTTACATTTCATTCTAGCACATTTATTTCAGCAGAAATGATGTCAACATATAAGATTAGATTGTGGATTAGTGGATGAAGGAACGTTTATGGGGAGGTTAAATATTAGCAGGGATTGGGTGGGATAGAAGCTCCATTTTCATGTTAAAATTATTATGTATTTCTGCATATAACTAAATTGAGTCAAATTTATTCAAAATGCAGTCTGGGATTGGAAAAGGTTATGCTGCATTGAAGTCTGACTGTCATTCAGATTAGCTTTGATTGTATGTCCATACTTCAGGAGAAGGCTTGTCAAAGTATACAACTGTTATAGGCTTATTGCCTCCCAGGATACTGATAAGAACTGAGTGTCTCAAATGGGCTTCCCTAAATGGCAAAGAAGATAATTTATTTTGCACTTGCTTGCCCCTACTAAAGCTGAAAAAGGCATGGATTTATTTTTCCTGACCACCCTAAACAAATGAACAAAAACCCTGAATATGGTCTACAACATAAATGTTCCTCACTTCGATTTCAATGGGCAAGAATTCTTTGAAGCTCATCAGCAGATTCAGGGATTATGATATGCTTAGTTAGCAAAGTGCCTTGATTATGGCATTTGGCCCAGTGCTACACATGCCCCTGACTGGCTGCATATTCAGCAGGAGAGCTGAGGAATGTCTGTAACTGGCACAAGTTACATCCGGCCTACATTTGTTAAAGGGTACATGCATTCCGGAACTTAATGGAACTGGTTGGGAAAGTCATTCACTGTTGGAGTAAAACTACCAATGAAGCAGCAGGCCAGACCTAGGTGGTTAATGTCAGTGAATGCATCTTCAAATGCCATATCGTAACTACCCTCAACCTTCACACAGCTCAGTGCAACATGCCAACATCACTCATCAAGCAGCAGTTGGGACTCATACCCAACAATCAGATACTTCACCTCAATCTCACAAACTCACAAACAATGCTGCTGCCCTCACATCCACCTTTAGCAGACTTCACATAATTCTAGCTATTCAGCAATGACAGCCACATCCACCCAATCACATTGCAAAACATTTAACTAACATTCTTCCACTCTCTTGCAGGATAAGGTTGCACACAGTTATAGTGAAGAACTGTCCAGGAATAGGCTTGGAGGAGACAGTACTGTGCATTATTGGGCTGACATTGACTTGTCTATTGTCAGTCTCAGCATCAGCATCGTTGATAATATTTAGGATTGTGGTATGTTCCTGCTTTGCACATTCCCAAGCTGTCTCACCCTCATCTTATTTTCTGGTGTGAAGTGCAAGCTGTAGATAGTGTGACAGTGGTCTTGCTGCCTGCTACCTAACCCCTTCCCACACCCCAATTCTTCACTTTTACATTGCTACGCTTGATCAGACAGTGGAGCTTCACCATGAAGGGGTGGGAACAACAGCAAGCATCCGAGGAAGAAGCATCAGCACTTGATTCAACTCCTTAGACACCTGCTTAAATACTGGCAGCACAAGTACTGTAGAGGGTATTACAGAAGTGGATCAGCATGTGGTGACTCAGCAGAAAGGAGTGGACCACTGCTGAGCTACGAGGAGACTGGAGAACTCAGATGAGTAAACTGTTGGAATGGCACAAAGGAGTACACTGATGAGTACACACAGTAAGATATTACTGTGCTAGGCCTGTCAAAAAGCCTGTTATGACTGTTAAAGGGCTTGTATCCCACTTTTCCAGTGTAGAAGTGGTGGCCAACTTGAAGATAGAACTTATAGACCCAGCTGTAATGCAATATCTGGTAGCTGATATTTCACCTTCCATTGCAGTACAAGCAGAAGCCACAGAGCATTCATGTGCTGCAGTGGAAGCCCAGACTAAAGTTGTCCTTGTTGCTGAGCAAGTCCAGCTTAGTACCATGCAGGCTTAGATGCCTATCACCATGGCTTAAGATGCCTGGTTCCCTCAGCAGTCAGCATTCTTTGCTCCAGCAGATTGCTTGAATTTTTGAGGTGCCTCCTCAGAAGATTGGCAGTGCTGCTGTGGAACATTAACTTAATATTCTCTCAACAGAAGGACAACATTCAGGTTTCCACCTCATTACTCAGCCCTTTCTGACTGAAAAGTCAGGATTCTGTATGCCTTGGAGGGGAACTTGTAGGTGGTGGTGTGCCTTTGCATCTGTTGCCCTTGTCTTCCAGATGGTTGAGGTCTCAGGTTTGGAAGGTGCTGTCCAAGAAGTCTTGGTTAGTTGTTCCAGCACATCATGTAGAAGGTGCATGCACTGTTGCTGTGCATTTGTGGTGGAGGGAATGAATGTTGAAGGTGTTAGATAGGGTAACAATCAAGTGGGTTGATTTGTACTTCTCTTAAGCTTCTTTAGTGCAGTTGGAACTGCACTTATTCAGGCAATTGACAGTGTTTCATCACACTCCTGACTTAGGCCTTGGTGTGAGTCAAGAAGTGAGTAACTTGCTGAATTCCCAGCCCCTGAATTGCTTTTGTAGCCGCTATATTTATACAGATGGTCCAGTTCAGTTTCTAGTCAGTGGTAACTCTCAGAATGTTGCTAGTCAGAGCTTTATTATGGTGATGCCATAGAATGTCAAAAGGCAATAAAAGGTAAATAGACCATTCCTGTCTCTTGTATGGCACAAGTGCTACTTGCCACTTATCAGTGGCTACTCTCAAAGACAAAGGACCCCATACCCAAAATGAGCAGGACAAATATGGTATATAAAATACCAAGCAGCAACTGCGAGAAACACTACATAGGACAGACGGGCAGGAAACTCGCCACCAGGATACATGGGCACTAACTTGCAGCAAAATGGCATGACCTTTGTTTCAAAACACTCCGACATAGATGGACATCAATTTAACTGGGACAAAGTTACTACTAGGACAAGCAAGTGAAAGACAAGTACAAGAATTCCTGGTAGCCTAGTTTTCAACCACCGATGCAATTAACAAACATGTTGAAATAGACCCCATCTACATACCACTACGGTACAAAACCGGAAACAAGACTGCCCACCACGGCAGACTGGACCATATAAATTCAGAGTGGGACAGAACAACAGCACTTCAACGGAGGCTACACAACACTGACAATGTCTCCTAGAAGGGAGACGAAACGTTTGCATGAAAACCAGCCAGCTCGGTGAACCAACCGCAACCCGAGCTGCAGATCTTCATTAAAGCATTAGACATTAGTGAATTAGATTGGTGTTTGCAACAAAGATAAACACAATATTTTCACGGTGAGCATTAGGCTAGCTTTGCAGATTTATTAGTTGATACACATTTCACCATCTGCCTTGCTGGGAATTGAACCTATGTTCCCAAAGCATTAGTCTTCATCTTTGGATTAATGTGCCAGTGACAATGCCATTACCAATACACGACTGCTTCTCCCTGTGTTACTGGTCAGTCATCAGCTCAGACGGCTGTCAGTGGTGTTGAAGCAGAGCAGTTTGAAGCCAGGCTTTCGAGCTCAAAAGTTGTCACCAACACCATCGGCAGTCTGTTGTTAGGAATCAGCAGCCTTCCAGCAGCCAAGTTATAGCCTCTGGAGAAACATTGTGTACGAGCACTAGGGCTGGTAAAAGCAGCCACAGTACTAGCACTGAGAGAATGCATAACGGTGAATAGTTCTGTGTATGTTATTGTAAGTGTTGCAGGGTAAACTTGTGGAATGGGTTTTTGAGGTATTTCAAGATTTTGGCCAAGAGGGTGCTGTAATGTTTCATCACAAAAGGATGAAAAGTCGGGAGTTGTAGATGGACAGTTCAATGAGATTTCTTTTTCATTCACGGGATGAGGGCGTCGCTGGTTAGGCTGCATTTATGGCCCATCCCTAATTACCCAGAGGGCAGTTAAGAGTCAGCCACATTGCTGTGGGTCTGGAGTCACATGTAGGCCAGACCAGGTAAGGATGGCAGTTGCCTTCCCTAAAGGACATTAGTGAACCAGATGGGTTTTTTCAACAATTGACAATGGATTCATGGTCATCATTAGACTCTTAATTCCAGATATTTATTGAAATCAAATTTCACCACTGCCGTGGCGGAATTCGAAACCAGGTCCCCAGAACATTACCTGGGTCTCTGGATTAACAGTCCTGCGATAATACCACTAGGCCATCACCTCCCTACTGGAGCTGGGAGAATTGAAATCTGGTTGTCTATTCGCTGACAGCCCATCTGTAGTGATAGGATTGGAGGTATCTTCTCTCTTTCCCCACCTCTTCCTCCTCCAAGACTGCATCCTCAAGAGAGCTAGTTTCAGGGAGACACAGCAGACCAGCATAAGTTTAGAGAAGGGCAGTGATGAGTACTGGCAGTCTCCCACCAAGGGTCCAGGTATAGGAATCATCTTTACAACATTGATAGTTTACTTCATGATGTTCCTGATGGCCCCATGGCTCTCGTATGCACACTGCCAACATGTAGTCAGATGATGGCAAGGTGGGTAGAGCAGACAGTCTGTGCGACTAGTAGCCGTTGTCTGACCTTTGGTTGGTCAGATATGGAAGCTGTGGTTAACTTGTGCAGGGTAAAAACATCATGTCTGCTGCTAGGTTAGTGGATAATCGTAATAATGGTCACATATTTACAACACATTTAGTGACTGGTTCACCTTGAAGTTGTGATCAACCTCTCTGGTAATCTGTGGCACCTGTAGACCCATGTGCATGCAGTCAGTGATGCCTTGCACTGTTGGGGTGTTCAGCTCCTCTTTCAAAACCACATGCCACTCATCCTGTGTCACTCTGTTTAGAGAGAAAGCAATGAATCTACTTTCCTTTTGCATTTAGCTTCAGTTTCTTCCCCGATGCAACATTGCACGAAATGCCAGTGTTCTCCAATACTCCATTGTTAGCACCATCCTTGCTGTGCTTTCCATCACTGGTTTGGTCTCTGCTGCAGGGCGTGGCACAGTTCATTCACTATCTCCTTGGTGAACCATAACTGTCACAGACATTCACCTGGCTGACTTGGAAGCAAGAGAAATGTTCTTCCTTCTCCATGTTGCGCTACACCCAAGAAAGTGCAAATATAGTTCTCATGAGTGATAACAGGATCTCAAAGTCCAGTGAACTACTTGGAGAAGTCCAGCACTTCTCCCAACTGATCAGAACTCCATGGACAGCATTGTACACAGCACTGTCAATGCTACTGCTGATACAGAGGCAAATTGTCATGACTGTGTAATGAATGCTATATGTTTTCGAAAGAAGATTTATCTGTTTTTAAAATGGACACAGAATCCTACAAAAATAGCTTCCAGAACTAAGATGTCCACTGTTGAGACTTGAGCTGGTACTTATTTATATCAGGAAGAAATCACAAAAGACCTTTTTGAAATTCAGTTGTCATTTCTAAGGGTAAACAGAAATTCTCTGATAGTGATTCTCCAGAAATGGCTCTTCCTAGTTTCACTGCAGCCTGGCTGTGAGAACAATCCAAACCAGTGTCTGAGATGGCTAAAGATTAATTACCTTCACTACGAGGGTTATTACCTCATGTGGAAAAACGATGAGACAGTTTTGAACCAGGTTATCATGAGCATCATCATAAGGGCAAAATAAAGGAACCTCACTCCATCTGAGTATGTTTTCTGTTCAGTTGACCCGTGGAAGCTACCTCCAACTATTTCACTACAGAAGCCATTACAGCTGCTGAATTCTGAGTTCAAGTTTTCAAATCTTCAGTCAAGTAGCAGATCTGCAACAACAACAGACTGGTCTTCTTTTTACCTTTACAAGTATCTGCTTTGCGTACCAACAGACTTTAACTTTTGTACCTACATTTTAGTTCATAACTGGATCACTTTTAACTTAATAATTGTGTAATAAACTAACCTTTGATTTGTTTAAGGCAAAAGCTTCGTTGCTGATCATGTTTAAATTGGAAGGCATGAAATGAGAAAGGAGGCTAAATGGGCGACATAAATTTGGAGATCATTTATGAGACGTGTGAGCAATGGCACGAGTCAAATCTTGCGATGTAATGTATCTTATACAGTCAGGACAGGGAGCAAATGAGTTTGCATAGAATGGCCAGTTTAAAAACAGTGGAATATATTTGACTGTGGGAGGGAAACCAACTAATCCCTTAGCTATACTATATAAATTTTCACAGCAGCAGATTGTTCAATCTCGGGTATCACAAATGAGCCACAAATCCATTAACAAATTTCAGAGAAAGTGAATTCTGGCTGATTTCTGGCCGAGATTTCATCCACCTGCAACTCTGCCTCCAACTACCCCCTGCCCCACAGTCTCGGAGCACTGAACAATTGCTGCAGCCTCAGTTACTTGTGATTAAATATAAGTTGCAAATTCTTTGCTTTCCAGGATCACATGAAGACTTGTTCTCAGCCTTTGCATGAAGATACTTTTGGCGGGCACCTTAAAGTAGGATTGGCACAGATAGCAGCAATGGAAATTGCCAGGGGAAACCATCGTGATAATAAAGCAGTCCTTCGCTACTTGCCTTGGCTGTATCATCCTCCCTCTGCCATGCAACAAGGGTAATGTGGTGAATGTTAGCAATATGTTTGTTACATAAATGTAGACGTTGTTTCTAGAAATGAAAGCCGTCACTTTCTACAAATAACATAATGTAGTTCATAGCATGATGTTCTAAATATTACGTTTGAATGGATTTTGTGGGCATCGGTGAAGGGACAGTTCTTGCTACTGGCCTCTAGAAAGCTGGCCACAAAAATTTAGCAAAATGTTAAGGAATTTATGTAGAGTATCGATTTTCTGTTTTCTGACATGACTTTGAATTAGCACCATGTGTAGTGGATGTCTGGCGGGCTGATCAGACAATCAGGTTGAATTCCTCCTTTCTTATAGAAAGCAAAATAAAAATTGATACAATTGCATGGGATTAAGGTATAACTCGAAATATGAAAATAAACTTTAAAACAAAAGTTTTTTTAATAATTTCAATATTTTAAAAATCATGGAATTTTTAAACATGCCTATGAAGGAATATGACTCCATGCTTATAAATTTGCTTACATGAGGCCAGCAAAGTGTTTTATCACTATTTATGACTTTGTATCCAGTTACTACTGTTTGAACAAGGCTTAACAATTCCACTAGTTTTATAGTGAGAAGTGTGTGTGAAGAGTTAGACTTCAAGTCAAATCACTGATTTTGTGTTGATTGCATCTGAAATGCAACAGTGCACCGTGTGGAGAAGCAGGATGTCGCTGAAGGCAACTTGCAGATTTCCACAATGAATTGCGCATGTGCAGATGGCAGGATTTGCTGTAATTACCTTATAATAATCACTGATAGTTTAGCTATCATTCCAACTGTAATTTCCAGCCCATAATATTGATTCAGATTTCTTTAATTAATCACAAACCAAATTAATACCTGAAAGGAAACAAGTAACAAACTGTAAAAAGACATATTATCAAAGGTGATTGGTGAATTTATTAATAAATATGAATCAGTCCGTAAATGCCTAATTGTATGTTTTTTTTCTTTTTCTTCTCCATGAAACATTATAGTCCAAAAGAATTTATTGAGTGCGTTTCCCATGTTCGTCTTTTGTCATGGCTGCTACTGGGGTCTCTTACACATAGTGTTGTGTGTTCAGGATCCACTTCATGCATGCCTATTCCTTTGGATGCTGGTTCACATATTGCAGATCATCTTATAGTTATCTTGATTGGATTTCCTGAACAATCCAAGGTAATGTTAAGATCTCACAAATTATAATCTGAACCCTCAGAATCTAGAGAATGCCGTTCACTGGTTTCTAAACTGCAAACTCTACATTATATGTCTGCATAAAAACCTTGCACCCGGAAATGTCGTTAAGAGTTCTCGCTAGAACTCCAAGAGAAACAATATGGACTGCTAAAAATGGCTATTTACTTCATTTTTTCCAGGGTTTCTGCTGATTTTCTGTGAAGTGCTGTATAAATGATAGTTAAGTTCTATGATTCAGCAGTATACCACTCCATGGTGCTTCTGTGTGTGTATAATTATGTGCATTCTTTATAACATTTCATAAGGTGATTTTATTTTGTTTTAGCTTTTTGTGTGTCACAATAGCTCTGATATGATTGTTGTTATGCATCATCCTCATGCTGAGATTAATTAAAAATAATTTGTAATCAGTTTTAGGAAAATTCAGTGGCTCGTGTGAAGTCAGTCACTGCTATTCAGTATTTTATCACTAGCTTTATTTGTTATTTCATTTTTACCTTAAACATTTACCTAGATTCCATTTCCAGGCGTCAGGATGGTTGTATAACACGAGGGCAATTTACAGTACCAGTTTACTGTCCAAGTGGCAATGGTGAAAATTAACGAGATAAATGTCTTCAAAAATAGAGCAGTAGACAATGAGAAGGAGGGAAACAGGAGGAAAAGCATTAAGAGGAGCTAAAAGTTGGAGGAGGGTTTAGGAGACTTTTGAAATTAGGAAGATGTTTCAGAGACAAATGAAAGTGAATAGTCGTAATAGAATGGAAGTGGCAATGCAAATAGATCTGGGATTGACAAGATATTACGATTGACAGTTGTGTTAGTTTGAAGTGGCAGCTAATGAAGTTAGCAGAGTGAAGTATGGTGGCCTTGTTTTGTTGTATATAAAGACATGTTGATATTTATGCAGACAACATTTTTACATTGATTTGGAGAGATTTTGATCAATGAATGAGAAATACAGTTGTCATTAACTTACTTGTTAAGAAGGATATGGTAATTTGATTTGATTTGTTATTGTCACATGTACTGAAGTACAGTGAAAAATTTTATTTTGCATGCAGATCATAACATTCAGAGATCATAGGGTGATTGAACAGAGCGAGGAGTACAAAGTTACAACTGCGAAAAAGGTGCACAAAAACTAAGATCAATATAAATTTGAAATTTGAGAGGTCCATTCAGAAGTCTAATAACAGTGAGGAAGAAGCTGTTCCTGAACCTGCTGGTGTGTGTGTTTAAGCTTTTATATCTTCTGCCTGATGGAAGAGGTTGGAAGAGATTATAACCGGGGTGGGAGGGTTCTGTGGTGATGTTGGCAGCCGTTCCATGGCAATGAGAAGTGTAGGTGGAATCGATGGATGAGATGGCCTCAGTTCAATGGACCAGGTGGTATTTTTTATTCCAGGAACTCGTTATTATGCATTGGCAGAATGGGGGTTGAACTATGAGAGTAAAATTTCAAGACTGTGCCTTTGAGCAATTTAGAAAGGTAGAGAAGGATGGAGATGGAATGTGACTTAAAGTAAACAAGTTAAACAAATGCAGAAGTTTGAAGGACATGCTAACTGTGCCATAAGTTAGAGAAAGGATGGTGATGAAAGCAAGAATAGGAATGAGGAGGGAAATTTGGGTAGTTGGAAACTTAAGGAGATAGAGAAATCATGATTCTGAAATGGACCTCTCAAATTTACATATACTTTCTGGTTTGTTCAAAAAGCACATTTTATAGACAGTCAGTCAATGTGGCGTTTTATAAATTCATACTTTAGAAATAACCCAGTCTGACTCCAAACTATAACACAAACAGATTCCAAACAAGGCCTCACACCTAACATGCATTGTCTGACCTAAAACGTCACCTCTTCTTTACACTGATAAAACCTTTAGTTCTCTCAGGATAGTGACTTGAAAGGAATTTGGGGATTTACATATACATATTAATCAATTAAAACCTTCCAACTGGTTAAAGATTTAACAGCATCTTAGATGCAGCTTTTGATGATTGACATATTTGAACTCTGAGATCCCTTTCTTCCCCTACGCTACCTAGACTCTCACCTTCCAAGCAATAACCCCATATTCTTGCTACAAAAATGTTCAAACTCGCTTTTACCCACGTTGAAATGCATTTACAGTGTGGAAGGTGAAGAGCTATCTGTTGAGATAAAGGGCCAGTAAGGTGGAGGTTGCAGTTATTTAGAATAAGCAGTCTTTTCATTCAGAATCCCAAGATAAATAGGATTAAGGGAAATTGGTGAGAAAGGCATCTGGGCGTGGGATCAGTGTGCAGGATCAACGATGAAGCATAGAGGAAATTCACATTTGATGAAAGACCTGGAGGGCTAGCAGTATAGACTAGTGTGTAATTTGAAGTGTGCTATGTTGTTTTCCTGGCATTCAGTAAGTGGGATGGAACAGTTATCTGGAGAAGATCTTTGTGAGGAAGAAGTAGTCGCCATCTGTAAACCGGATTTCGATGAAAACAAATGCCTCAATGAAATCACATACTCATCAATGATAAGAAAATAAGAAAATGAAGCTATTTGGAGTAGACTATTTGGCTCTTTAAACCTACTGCTCTATTCAGCAGTATAATGGCAGATCTTTACCTCATACAACTCCTGTATCCATGATGTTATGCAGATGGAGGGATTTGCATATCAGACAGCAGACATTTTATAGTGTGCTGCAGAGATAATGAGTAGCCTGAGGCTCAATGGGAAGTAGGTTGTGGAAACTTTTTGAGGGGGAATATGATAGTAGAATGGAGATAAAATCCTGATAATGTGTTGGGACAATTTGTGGAAATGTAGAAGAGGGCAGTTAAAATGGATGTTCTGGACACTGGGAATGGATGCCTGGGTTGATGATTTGCATCAGGAATTTGCCCTGATCAGGAATTTATTATCCAACCTTATCTCTGTTTTATATTCATGGATAATGTAGTCAAATCTAATATACAAAATTAAGTATTTGACTTAAATTATTGCCAACTAGTTATCTTTGGCTTGAGACAAATTTTCTAAATCCTCCTAAATAGTAATAATAATCCTCTTTCAACGTAGATGTTTTCCCAGAAAATTTCTTGAATGGCACAGATATTTTATATCATACTTAGTGCAAAATGAATGACAAAGTAAAAATAAAACAGATTTCCACTTCTGTTGTAACTCATTACAAAGAAAATTCCATTAGCAGTCAGTCTATACAATCTATTTCACCTATTTATACCTAAAATGTTGTTATACCTAAAAGTCTTCAAAAGTCTAATTGTATTTACTATTAATTTCAGTAACACTATCCTCTGAAAGATGGCCATTTAAAACATGAAAGACTTTATCACTCATAGAACTTCATTAAGCTACTTCACCAGTAATGATTTCTTTGAAGAGTAGAAACTATTTCATTGAGAAATATAGTAGCCATTTGGTATACAGCAAGTTCTTGCAAAAAGTAATGAAATAAATGTCCATTCATATGTTTTCAGCATAATTGGGGGATTATTGTAGACTAGGATGCTAGAAGATCTGTTTTGTTTTTAACATCCTCCTCTAACACATAGATAGGGCATCAGTTTAATAGAATACATAAAAAGATCAATTCTGGGGCATTTTGACAATGTTCTGCATCTCTCATTAAACACATTGGGATGGATTTTCTGTTGCTGTGGGGACAGGAATGGGTAGTAGTGAATTGAAAGTTGTATCCCAGAGGAAGCACTGGATCCTATCACTTCTGGACAGTTTACAATTTTGAAACGTCCACAGGGAAGGGGATGGTGGTAATTGGAATCCTATTTGATGCAGTTAGTGGAGCTTGTTTAGGGTCTGTGCAACAAAAGCAGGATTTTCAATACTTTCTCTGTGCAAAGCCAAACAGTCTGATGCATATTAGTGAACAGCTGGCAGAGTTGCCAAGAAGCAAAATAAAGTTGGTTTCTGTATGTAGACTTTTGTAAAGCGAGGGGATAACAAACCCTGGGATGAGAACCATTCCTCTACTTGGTGTCCATGGTCACTTTATGTCAGTTTGTCATCCTGGTCCTTCCATAAACTTGATCACATTGGCAATATAGCAGCAGTACCCGATATGGATTCTACTTGCTTTGACACTGGTCCCACTTAAGCAACTCATACCTCCTGGAGGTACCCAGCACCTTCAGTTGGCTGCTGAGCTTGCCTCGTGCCAGATCAGCCCTTTTACCAGAGTGATGCAGTTTAGGCACAAAGTCAGGTTGGAATTCACCTGGGTGTCAGTTTCTAAACCTTCTCTTCAAAACTGTTGTGAATTAATCATAATTTTTCCTTCTTTATATCTTCCATTCCTTCCTTTTATTGCTTCTTGTGATTTTGATTGATCTCAACACAGCAACCTTACCTTTCATCCTTCATCCGGGTCACATTCAGCACTTGCAAAAAGTTGAGACCCCAGCATTTATCCCTGTGACACATTTGGAATGCTGTGCCTCACAGGATTGTAGACATAGATTCAACAGTAGCTGTCAAGAGAAAACTGGACTAATTATTGAAGGAGATCAAATTGTAGAGCTGTGGGGAAAAAGTGGGTCAGTGGGACTACCTGGAGTACTGATTGAAAGAGCCAGTGCAGACTGAATGGCCAGATGGTCTCCTGTGCTGTCCTATTCTGTGATTCTAACAATTCAATTTATGATACTTTAAAGGTGGCATCAACGCCCGTTAACTAAATACATAATGAGCTGAAATAAATGTCATTAATTCTTTGCTACAAAGATTTTCATTTTCTGGATGTAAAATACCAAATAGCTGTAGATTCAAATATTACTTATTTTTCTGTACTTGTGTTAGTATAAAGTTAAAGTCATAGCATCTTTACGATATCTCATGGAATCAGTTAAACATTGTAATGCATCAATTAATTTTCCATTATTCTTGTATAAATTGTTTTTAATATGGGATAGTTTTTCTTTTAAAAAACTATGATTTTAACGTGGTGTAGAAAAATAAATGCAATAAATCTGATTTTTTTTCTTGCTTTTTATTTATAGACGTCTGTATTGCACATGTGCTCCCTATTCCATGCATTCATATTTGCACAGCTTTGGACAGTATACTGTGAACAAGCAGCTTCTGCCCCAACCCTACAGAGCCTGAATGAGTTTGTCTGCACAGCCACTTTGACTGCCCTTGAATTCTGGAGTCGGGTGACACCTAGCATTTTACAGCTGATGGTTCACAACAAAATGGTGAGTAACAAACAGAATACTTGTACCCGTTGTTCTTTACCCTGGCTAAAAGAATGCAAAGACATGGGAGTTATAGTTGACCTTTATAAGACATTGGTTCAGCCTCATTTGGAGTACTGTGTCCGATTCTATGCACCACAATTTAGAAAGGGTGGGAAACATTACGGAATGTGCAGAAAAGACTTAAGAATATGGTACAAGGGATGAGAGACTCAGTTACTTAGGTAAATTAGGGAAGCTTGGACTGTTGTCTTTAAAGAAGAGAATGTTGAGAGGAGATTTGTTTAGGTGCTGTGGAGATACCAAAATCATGAGGAGTCTGGCCAGAGAGAATTGTGCCTTTGGTCACAATTTGAAAACCAAATTTAAAGGAAATGAACCAAAGGTGATAAAAAAAAATCTTTTTTTTAAATGCAGTAAATGGTTTGATCTGTTTTTTAAATTCTTTCCCTAATTGCAGTTGAGAAGGGATTAGTTTAATTTGGTGTCACATTCGGCACAACATCGTGGGCCGAAGGGCCCGTTCCTGTGTTGTACAGTTCTATGTTAAATGTTCTAAATTGTTGGCAACCCAACTTCTTGCACTGCTGCAATTCTAAGAGTGTGGTAGAGCAGATTCAATTGACTCTTTCAAATAATTACCCAAAGAGAAAATATTTTCAGGGCTACAGGGTAAAGGAGGAAAGTGAAACATAAAGCTGACATGGGCACATCAATTGTGTAACAAATTCTTTGGATGATTATAGACATATCCTTAAAGTTGATAATCTAAATCGAGTCCAGTGTGTTGAATGAAAACAAAATGCTGGAAGCACTTGTCAGGTCAGTGGTGTGCCTAAAGAAAGAAGCAATGTTCATGCTTAAGGCCTTTCAAGAAAGGCTAATGACCCAAAATGTTCACTCCTTTTCTCTCCGTGAATGCTGCTAGATCTGCTGAGTATTAATGGCACTTTCAGCTTTACTTCAGATTTCCAGCATTTTGCATTTGTGCAAACATGTTGAATAATACTCTCAAAACCAACGTTTCAAACCTATTAGCTTTTGTTTTAACCTTTTCTCAAGTGAAAATTCCTTCCCTGTGTTGCAGATGGTAGAAATGGTTTGCCTGCATGTTATCAGCCTGATGGAGGCTCTGCAGGAATGCAACTCAACCATCTTTGTGAAGGTAATTACATTTTTATTATATCTGATGTGAGAGATCATGTTTTTACATAAGACTTACATGCCTATGCTAGCTAGATGGCACTCATTCTCCTTTTAGTAAACATTTGCTCTACATCACACAATTTTAGGATATGAATTAATTTTAGTAGTCAGTTGTGGGAAGTTTATATTTGAGTTATGCTAGTTTTGAAAACGAAAATAAAACATCTTAAATCCATTATTGTATGAAGATACTTCTAAATCATTTGAATTAAAACGTACATGGCCCAGATGGGGGGATCTTTAAAAATAGCTGAAGGAACCTAGATGTAAAGGTTCAGCCTCCAGTTCTGGCATACCTCATTTTTTGCCATCAGAGTGATGGTGGCAAGGGTCGTGAACTTACAGGTGGGAAAGCATGAACTCAGCAGGACCAGTTGATTTGATTGCTAAGTACACGTACACCTAAATTTCATTGTTCCAACGTCCAGTAGTTGGGATCTGTGCTTTTATGAAGGGGATTTAAATGCTAGTGAAGGACAGATTTAAAGCCCATTTTAGTGTCCTGAGCTGAGGTGATTTAAATTTCTAGCCCTTCAAATTTGGAAAAAAGAACAGCATGCAGCTTTCAGTTACAGTTTAAAAAAAAACACACGGTTAGCTTGCATTCTCTGAAGATCATTGCTGCAGCCCCCTGTTTTGGCATTTCAGTACACTCCATTATTTAGATGTTCCAAGGTATATTGTTATGATGAGTTGATCAATACTTTGCTGAGTGTCAAAAGGTCTAAAACTTTTTAGCTCAGAAGGGGACTATATAGATATTTTGATGTTATTGAAGGATTAATTGCCTTTAATGTAGTTAGTGAAATAGATGCTTATTTGTTTTTAGAACATATTAATTACTAGATGGCATTTGATTTTTTAAATGGGTTTCATGTATCAGCTTTTTCTTCAGTATCAAGCATGTTTGAATGAGAGCACTAATATTTTTTTTAATTTCATGTAAGGTCATGGGGGTGGTGAGGGTGAGAAACCTAAAAGCCTTCAATACAACTGGACAAAAGTACCAGAGGACTGAGGTGAACGTAGTAATCAGCCCACCTTGGCTCTCGCCGGCAATATACTTGTCCGCCTCCTACTGCATTTAGAGGCAAAAGGCCTGATTCTATCCTGCGCCTAGCAATGAAAGGGCAGCAGGGGAGTAGGCCCTTTAGTGAGATGTGCCTGCTAGATCAGAATGTTTCATGACTGGAACTTCCAAGCTCCCCCATGAAAACCCAACCCTGTGTGTTCGGTTCAGTTAATTCGAGGTGGAAGATTCATATCATGCTCAACATGCAAATTATAGAAATATCACTGCCAATAATGGTTGTATTCTAAAAATTAACACTAGTTTTATATAAACAGGTACTTATTTTTGTAATGACTCATGGGTTTGAGCATTTCAAATATTATATGAGAAATAATTCATCTTACACTGCAGAATGCATTGTGCGTGCAGTTTTTATTGTTATAATGAAATAAATTCCCTTCTACTTGTAGTTCCTAGTTAGTTTTTTTTTAAATTGTATGAGATGGCTTGATACGATTCCAGTTAATCACTTATAATTAAGAACGTTCATAATCTTGACCTTAATATTGAAGGGTACGGTATTTTTATGAAATCTTTGTATTTTTGTTATCTCTGGAGTTTGGTTGATTTCATTTTTGACATTTTCATGATCAAACAACATTCGATCGCCCTTGAAATTAGTAAAGTCATATCTTGATTCACAGACCCAAATAAACTTGGATCCATGACATAGGCAGTGCAGAATAATAGTATTTTAGTTCATAAGTCAGACATTCTGTCAAGCTTCATATCATCGAAGGTGGAGTTCATTCTCATCAAGCTGTCCAACCCTAACAGATAGGAAAGAAGAAAATAAAATACAGCCATTACAATTATTTTCTTATAGCCTAATATATTATAATATAGATATGCATAGATAATCATTGTAATGTAGATAATTATTATATCATTTTGCAGCAAGCCAAAGTGCAGTTAATTCCAAGTGCAATATGAAAGGAATAAGTTGCACTTAGATTACATTCTGTAACCTCTTCATGACATTCAACATCTTTCTCAGCCACTGGATTATTTCTTGAAAAGCAGTCAACATGCAGTAACTCTGATAACCTATTGGGCTCAGTAAGATCCAATTAAACAGTGAGTCAGTAACCAGGTAATCTGTTTATTTATGCTAGTTGTAGAGAAAGTGTTGGATATTACTGCGAGAAAACTCCATTTGCTTTTTTTTTTTTAAAAAACTGCTTTAAAATCCGGTGCATTTATCCAAGTGGGATGGCAAGGTGTTAATTAATATCTCATCTGAGAGACAGAACATCCAGTAATGCAGCACTTCCTCAGTATTCAGTTGAGGTGACATGATGGGGCTTGAGTCTATAAACTCCTTACGTGGAGGTGAAGTGCTACTGACAGAGTTGAACTAATACTGACAACAGTATGGAAATTATGGGATTTTTAAGCATTGTCTGAAATGAAATTTAAAGATTCCTATTAATGTATGTTTGAGTTGCATTTTCTGTGCCATAAACAATATATGACCTGATTGATTTACACAGTGAGATGAACATCACTAATAACTAATCTTCCAACTGTTTTGTGTTTATACAAATGGGACATATGCTGGTTGATACACAAATCAATCTTTTTACTGGGAACCAAGTGACTGAGACTCGTGGTTGTTTTGGAGAGGATAGGAAAACCAAATTGTACAGTTTTGAATCTTACGTAATGAATGGATGTCAGACAGTCTTCGAAAGCTCAATGAATTTGTGTGAAAGCGCCATCGGTAGGATTTTCTCCTCCCAGGAGTAGTGGACAATGGTGAAAAAGTTGGGAAAGTTGTGAGAATGAAACAAAATCAGAATCTCAACATCAAGAAAACATTCTCAAATTTCTCCTTAAGCTTTAAATGGTGACTTCTGAATCTTTCTATTGAGTAGTGGTTACCTTATTCCATAGCTGTGCATCTCATTATTAGCTCAACACATCTCATTTACATGTATGCCATTTCCAATTCTCCCCTTCCTCGAGAATCTAGTTGGCACCAATTCTTGACAATGAAGTCAGAATGGGTGGCTGGTGACTGAAATCTCATCGTGGCCTTCATCCAACTTGGTGTTCACTAGAACCTCCTCATGCTCCATAGACACCATCTTCTTCCACTCTTTGTCCACACAAGCCAGCATCAGGAAACCACCAGTCTAAGGTCTTAGCTTTGTTTCATACTGCTCACTACTTTGTGCTTACTTGAGGCTACCATGCTCTGTGTTTGCATTGCTTTTTAGCACAGAGGGCTGTCAGAACTGTTTTGCAGGCTGCTAACGTGTGTGTCTTGCATTGCTGAGTGGGTGAGCCACTGTCAATTCTGGGGATTTGCTCAATGGCTAGGGGCTTACTGGGAGAAAGTCCTGGGGAAAGCAGGAAAGACTTCGCTGGAATTGGGGTCACTGAGGGAATGTTTACAGCAAAAGAGGGCAATTCAAGATAGAATTCTGTGCAAATTGCACTTCATGAGCAGCTCATTGTCCAGGAATGCAGAGTCAGGATCATTGCATTGTTCACACTGATTACTTTCTTGTCATGTCAGCTAACCAAATGCAATCAGACAAGCTGACCTAGAGGCTAACAACTGGACTTGGCATTTTGGAAGCATATTCCATAATATCATTGTAAGTCAATGCCTTAGAGCTCCTGTATTCGCATACTTGGCTGTAAATGTGTGTGGGCCTGCTTTGTGCAGTGTAAGGGTGCCTTTTCTTTAGGTAGACCTATTATGGTGGCTTACAGCCAGTATTTTGAGTGCCAGTGACCTGGGTGTTTCTCGTCAGCTGTGGAGACATGTCAGTGACATGCTCACCAGAATGTGCCCCTGAGTTTAATCTGGATGGAGAACCCACTGTGTTAAAAGTCTCTGAGCTGGGGTGGGTGCAGGTGACAGCTTTGCCAGTGTGTTCTGTCAGGCATCAATAGGTTCCATCTCTGAGATGGAGGTGGAGCTGAGCGTCTCCAGCAGACAGCTGATTTTGGCCAAGGTTTGCTGAGTGCCACATGTGCTACATAAGAGAAGAGCAGGAATTATTTGTCTAAAAGGGATTAAGAACTCATACAGATTAATAATGAGTTAGTGCTAGTGGAATTTGGAGGGAAGCACAATGAAGCTCACTAAGGGCAGAAACTGAGTATGACGGAACTGGCTGGAAGAGCAGGAGAGGTGATGAAGTGCCCACCATGAGTAAGCAGGAAGCAAGTTTGCAGTTTGAAAAACTGAGGTGGATAAGATCCGTTGAATGAACATGATGTATGCAATAGTGAGAATTGTAGTGTATAAGCCTTGGTGAGAGGTGTCTGTGCAGTGGCCCAGTCAGAGTGAGTGTGAGGTAGCAGAGCGAAGATGGTGGCACTTCACCTTGCAGAGCACAGAAGATCATTTATCTCCTTGCTGCACCAGTGCAATTTTTTTTAAACCTGGGACACAGAAAGGATGTGGTCTGCTAACTCGGTCTGGGCTAGTTGAGACTGGGAATGTGGCTTCCTTTGACTGTCATCAGATTAAGGTATTTCCACCACCTCATCAAGCAGCACCTTTCAGTCCCTGTTAGAAAATCACTGTATGAACTTCCCTTCCTGGGCCATGCCCTCAGTCGTAATGGTTAAGCAGCACAGCGTGAGGAGCTTTCAGCATCCAAAAGGGGTGCAGTTAGTGTTTAAATATTGTGCCAGTGACATGATGCTGGCAGGCCCTGGCAGTGATGATGCGGAAGATTGTGTGAAGATTGTGTGAAAAATGTCACACTGTGCCATGATTGACCAGGCATCATTAATCTCACTCGACAAAGCACTTCCACTGGAAATGGGAAAATCCAGCCTCGTGTTTGCCTATCACTTACTAGTGACAGGATAATTAAGATGCAAATTGCTGACATGAATCTATGTCCCACTGCTGTATGAGAAAAAAGATCAAAGTTTTAACGTGGTCTATCATCACAGTAATAAAAGCAAAATGCTGCAGATGCTGGAAATCTGAAACAAACACAGAGATCACTGGAGAAATTCAGCAGATTTGATGGCATCAGTGGAGAGAAATAGAATTAACTTTTTAAGCCTGGTACGACTCTTCAGAACAGTTCTACTGTCTTGTTGAATTTCTCCACCATTCACTGTATCATCATACTATTCAGCTCTTCACAGTTAAATTGTTCAAATAATTTGCATCTTAGAATCTATAGATGCTTAAGGCGTTAGTAGCAGATTGCAGTTGGTAAAATTTCAACATCATTTATACTCTTCGGTTGCAGTGATTTGGCAGGAAATTAATGTCTAATGCCAGTTCACAATGTTTTGTTTAACTGTAGAAAACAACTGTAATTTGTAACACTTTTCTTCTTTGAACAGTTGATACCAATGTGGTTACCAATGATTCAGTCAAATTTAAAGGTAAGTGTTATTGCTAAACACCAAAGATTAGTGTGTTTCCACATTGTTTTTACTTTTCAAAAATAATACATATTATAAGTAATTAACTTTTAATTTTAATCTGGCCTGAACTCAACAGCATCTATCAGCAGGTCTGCAATTGCGCCTTCAATCAATCCAGAATAATGTCAACCGTCATGTCTTGCAGTCTTTCCAGGGATCTGGGCAGATGAGCACAAATTCGTCAGTACTCCGTAAATGGCTGCAATGTACTCAGTTCAAAATGGCTCAGGTGGAAATACAGTCATCAGAAGCTGCATCTCAATTTTATCCTCTTTAAATATTTTTTTATGTACCCTGACTTGGAGCAGTAGCATCTCTTGTCAGTCCTCTTAGGCTGATAAAATATTAGATGCATGTTGGCAACTAAGCAGCCTCTGTGTGTGTGTATATATAAAACCATTCTTTCTTTACAAATATTGTAAAAAGATTAATTAAGTGTTGCACATAAATTCTGTAATGAACTTGGTTTTCTTAGAGGAAGTATCTTGTAATTTAGAACAATAGAGTGATCAATCTTGTACATCAATTGTACTGGACACTGAGTATTTGAGATGTTATACACTATCTACATATCAGTTTATAAAAGTCTTTTTAAATTGACTATTTTAATGCCTTTGTCTTCTATGAGTTCTTTAATATTAGCACCTTTGAGTGATCTTATATCTTCCTACAATCATTTTGTTGTTGAAAATATAATTACTAATTAGATTATTTTTTTTGTTTGTTCAAAGTATATTTGTTTTTTACCTATATCTAACAACACTCCTGCAACATTGGCCAACAAATGTAATGTCAGTTCTGATATCGTGTTTTTCTGTACATTCTGTATTTGGAATATATGCAGCTGTACTGGGAAATGTGCTGCTTCTTTGGTCTTGACATTTACTGAAACTGTACCTTTCTCTGTACGTAAAAAATCTACTTAGTGTCCCAATTCTTTCTCTGGGACTGTGCTCACTCCTAAAAGCATCAAGTATGTGAAAAAATAATTTTGAGGACATACTTTGCAATAATATTGAAATGGTATTGATTAACCTGTTCAACTGCTGGTTTTCCAATAGGCTATAGGTGTAAATAATGTCTTTAGATCAGTGTAAACATGATTGAAAATAGGGTAGAAACTGGTCATTTTAGTATCCAGTAGATTGTATATACTTTCCTGTAAAATATTGCTCCGATGATGAAGTTAGATGCATATTTTGTGGAACAAAGAATATGTAATTATATAGTGGAAGATAAAACATATTTTCTAAGTTAACAAAAATGGTCTGGTGTAAATTACAATTATTTTTCTTTGATATTTTCCATTTATTTCTGTTCTTTTACTAGTAATCACTTTTACTATTCACCTTTGTTTGTTTCATTGTGAAAAAGGTAGACTGATGTTGAATATCTACAATTCAATAATTAAGCTTCAAGAACAATGCTTATAAAACAAAAGAGTTCAAGTGTCAGTTTTTCCACTTTCTTTGGAATGAACAAATTTTACTAGTGCAGGAAGAAAATATTAGAACAAGGCACTTGGATTTATTAATGAGCATTATAAGGGCTACAGCACTGTAGACTTCCAAACAAAATAGTAATAGTGGTTGGAACTGAGTATACAGTACATACAAAACATGCATAACTATTGGTTCTTAAAATTATTGATGACGTTTCCAATTTTGGTCAAAAATGCTGTATTAGTAGATCTTTAAAAACCAACTAAACATCAAATTCATACAAAAAGTGTTAATTAATTAAACCTTTTTTTGTGTAAAAGGGGCAACACGGTGGCTCAGTGGTCAGCACTGCTGCCTCATAGCAACAGGGACCTGGGTTTGATTGCAGCTTCAGGTGACCATCTATGTTGAGTTTGTACTTTCTCCCCATGTCTGCGTGGGTTTCCTCTGATTTCCGCCCATAGTCCAAAGATGTGTAGGTTAGGTGGTTGGTCATGCTAACTTGTCTTGTGACCAGGGATGTGCAGGCTAAGTGGATTAGCCATGGGAAATGCAGGGTTACAGGGATAGAATGGGGATTTGGGTCTGGATGGAATGCTCTTTGGAGGGTCAGTGTGGACTTGATGGGCCAAATGGCCTGCTTCCACACTGTAGAGATTCTATGAATCTACCAAATCAAGAATTCAATTTAAATGTTGTTATATCATCTTGATACCCACATGTTTAAAGTGCAGAGCTTTAAGTTCACACCTGATGGCCCTGTGAGTAAATTATACAGCAGTGAGTGTAATTACTAGAAATATTCCAGCTTCAAACACTGCGATGAATTAGTCAACTTTAGTTGGGTGACCTTTGGCTTCAGTGCTGTGGGAAAGGGACAGGCTGCAGGCTATTTTAGATACAAAGGAGACATTACTATTGCAAGACTTTTTAAAACAAGATTTAGATTGTTGGAACTAGTGAAAACAGAGGGATAATTGATTTTGTTATCTTTGCACCTACTTGCTTTTAAAAACGTTTTCCGGTCAAGCTTTACTGTGAATGTGTTTATTACTAATATTATTATTCTAGTTGCATAGTTTACACATTGATGCAACATCCCTTGACCTGTCACTTTTATTTATTGACAACAGCATGTTTATGTTTGATTGCCATGTTTTTTTCTATGTATCTCACAAAGAACATTAGAGAAATTGTCCAAACTGTTTGGGAATAGATTGGAATGCTAATCAGCAGTACTCATAAGATCAATCTTCAAAAACCTATGTTTAGTTCACTGTGGTACTTCAAGTATAATTATATTTTATTTTCTTCCATAAGCTATTTATTTTGCAGTTCTCAAAACAGTACAATTTATCCTTATTAAAATTCATGCAAACACAGGAGAAGCAGTATCTAGATTTTTGTATTCAGCCATACATACTGATGTACACATTTTATTATGTCAATTCATTATCAGAGGCATAATCTTACAGTATCCTCCAAAGTAGTTAAAAAATAGAATTTTGGAGACCAAAGTACTGCAAAAGAAAGAATGACGCTGATTTATTCATTGCACAGTAGTTCACCTTGAATGCTTCTCTGAGAATATTTCCATCAAAATGTTCAGCACTATATTTGAAGGTCACAATAACAGAAACTCATGATGTAGAAAAGATTGCCAACTATTGTTAGAAAGTTATTTTCTATATATTAAAGCACTTGGAATTTAATTTTGCCAGATATTGTGTTGTTTTAGTTGATTTTGCTTGTAAAATAATTTCTCTTTTAAATAAAAGACAATAAGTTTTACCTCAAAGATATGTGAATTTTGTCCTAAGGAAAGCCGATGGAAAGAAAATGTCAAGAAAAATGAACACATATCTACCTGACCGATAGCACTGGCATATACTGGAGAATTACAGAAACGTGGCTGAGAGATGGACAAGACTGGCAGCTCAGTGTTCCAGGTTTTAGATGCCAAAGGAAGGATAGGAAAAGAGGCAAGAAAGGAGGGGGAGTGGTGTTTTTGATTAAAGAATATGTTACTACTGTAACTAGAGAAGATATTTCTAAAAAATTGTCCAGTGAAAATATATGGGTAGAAATTAGAAACAAGAAACGAAAGATCACTTTGTCATAGAGTTGATGTTATTATAGAGTTGTAGAGTTACAGCATGGAAATAGACCCTTCAGTCCAACTCATCAGCACTGAGCAGATATCCTAAACTACCTAGTCCCTTTTGCCAGCATTTGGCTCATATTCCTCTAAACCCTTGCTGTTCCTTGGCTGTTCACCTTATCCATGCCCCTCATGATTTTATAAACCTCTATAATAGGATTGTACAATAGGCCCCCTCCCAATAGTAAGAAGGAAATTGAGAAACAACTTTGTAGGGAGATCTCAGATATATGTAAGCATAATAAGGTTGTAAAAATGGGGGATTTTAATTTTCCAAACATTGACTGGGGCTACCATAGGGATAAAGGTTTGGATGGTGAAGAATTTGTCAAATGTGCTCAAGAAAATCTTCTTTATCAATATGTGGATGCTCCTAATAGAGAAGGAGCAAAACTAGACCTTTTGGGCAATAAGGCAGGGCAGGTGACTGAAGCAAAAGTGTGTGAATAATTTTAGGTTTAGCATTGATAATTCTATTTGTTTCATAAAAGTTAAAGGTTTTAATTGGAGTAGGGCAAATTTTAATGGTATGAGACAAAAACTTTAAAAAGTTGATTTCAGTAGACTGTTCGCAGGTAAAAAGATGTCTGACAAGTGGGAGGCATTCAAGAGTGTGATGACGAGAGTTGAGAGGCATTATGTTCCTGTTAGAGTGAAGGATAAGCTGGAAAGATTAAGGAACAATGGATGAATAAAGATATTGAGGTTCTAGCCAAGAATAAAAGAGCATCTCATTTTAGTTATAGACAACTTGGTTCAATTGAATCTCTTAATCAACATAAAGAGTGTAGGAGTATTCTTAAGAAAGAAATCAGAAAGGCATGAGGGGATGAGATCACATTGGCAGATAAGGGTAAGGATAATCCAAAGAGATTCTACAAATACATTCCGAGCAAGAAGATAACTAGAGAGAGGATAGGGCAAGGTTGTCTTTGTGTTGAACCCCAGGAGATGGGAGAGATACTAAATGAATATTTCACATCAGTTTTTACTGTGGAGAAAGAAATGGATTCTAGAGAATGCGGAGAAATAAACTTTGATGTTTTAGAAACAATTCACATTACAGAAGAGGAAGTTTGGGAGGTCTTAGAGAGTATAAAGGAGGATAAATCTCTGGGACCATATCTAATGTATCCCACAACATTGTGGGAAGTAAAGGAGGAAATTGCAAGACCTCTTGCAGAAATATTTGCATCACTTATAATGATGGGTGAGGTGCCTGCTAACTGGAGGGTGGCCAATGTTGTACCTTTGTTTAAGAAAGGTTGTAAGGAGAAACCAGGGAACTATACACCTAAGTCTGACTTTGGTGATGGGTAAATTGTTGGAGGTGATTATAAAAGATATGATTTATGGACATTTAGAGAGGCAAAAATTGATTAGGGATATTCAGCATGGTTTTGTGTGAGGAAAATCATGTCTCAAACATGATTGAGTTTTTTTGAGGAATTTGCCAAAAAGATTGATGATGGCAGAGCAGTAGACATTGTTTATATGGATTTTAGTAAAGCTCTTGACAAGGTTCTGCATGGTATACTAATTAGTAAAGTTAGGTCACGTGGGGTTCAGGGTGAGCTTACCAGTTGGATACATAATTGGCCCATCGGCAGGAGACAGAGAGTAATGGAGGGTTGCTTTTTGTATTGGAGGCCTGTGACCAGCGCTATTCCACAGGAATTGGTTCTGGACCCTCTTTTGTTTGTCATTTATGTAAATGATTTGGATGAGAATATAGAAGGTGTGGTTAATAAGTTTGCAGACAACACCAAAATTGGTGGCATTAAAGACAGTGAGGAACGTGAGACCACTGATCATAAAGCCATGAAATGGCTGCATTATGGAGTAGTGAGAAGAAAAGTTATATTTTATGGATAAACTCTTGACATATAGTGAGTCTTAGCTGACCACTTTACAAGTGTCACAAACTATTCAAGTACTACTTACTAGCAATTGTTTAAATCTAGTATATAGCATGGGTGAACTGGGAAGAAAAATATCCATTAGGATGTCCAGTGGTTTGTGATTACTTCTCAACTTTATCACCATCCTAGCTGAAAATGTCAACACCATGTCAGTTTAATTTGCATTTTTGCCTTAGCCTAGAGATGTACTTCAATATAGAAAGCTATTAAAATTATTTTGATTTACGCTGACGTTGACTTTGTCATCTTTGCTTCTGGTTCCTTCTATGACTTTGAATGTAAACTTTGCGACAAGGACATCCAAGAGAAAGAGGTAACTGCATTTTCAAAGACCTCAACTGTCCAAAGTAACAACTATACTGAAAGTTTTTCATAACTAAGAGAAGAATAATTTCTGGAAGCTTTCATTCTGTGTACTTTGAAGAGCAAATTCTTTTACACACACAGCATATAAAATAATTCTTGATTGTAGTTTTAAAGGTTTTTCTCTTTACATCCTCATTTTTTTGAGGGAAAGTCAGTAAAGGACAAAAAGCAAACTACGATAGATGTTAAAATTCTGAAGTTTTAAAAAAAAACAGAACATGTCAGAATGTCCAGCAGGTTTGGCGCGTGTGTTGAGAGAGAAATGGATTCAATAAGTTGGATTTTACCAGCCTGCAAGGAAGAGTTTGGAAATGGGAGTAGCTGCAAAAGGTTGAGGGAAGGTATTGGGATAGTGTTCCCATCATCTTCCTGTCTCCTTGCCAGCAGTGAGAAAGATGGTCCTCCAATCAAAGATCACTGAGCCCACTAGGTAGTAATTAAGGGCCTCTTCCTCCAGACACTGGCATTTTACCTGCAACTGTGTGATTGTGGGGTTTGCTTTTGCCAGGTTGGGAGACTGCCAAGTGAACTCTGGCTGCCTCAAAGTGAGCTAGGGAAACTTCCTTTTTGAGCCTATGGTGGGGGTGGGAGTGGGCTTATTAGAATCAAGCCTAATAAGTAGCTGATGCCAATGCTGATGTAGCCCTGTATCCTACAGTTTGTCGAAGCAAGATTGGCCTGCATTTGTTTCAAATCATCTTCCTTGGAACAAAGAAAAGAAAATGAGCTTCACTTTTACAGCCAAGTAATTTTCCAGTGCACTTAACAAAATTAATCCAAGCAGTGTAGGGCAGTCAATTTGTACACAGCACAGGAGGAATGCTAATTAAGAAACCTTCCAACTCTACCTACAGTGAGATGTAAACTGTTTCAACCACTGGATCAAGCATGTGGCTGTGTCTTTAATGGCCGATTCTAGATGAAAAAGATTCTCTAAGTATGCAGTACTTCCTCAAGACTGAACTCCGAAGTTTAACCGATAGTAACACTAAGTTATTAGCAACCCTTTTTCAGGTTTTCCAAGTTATTGGAGTGATCTAGCATGATCATGTCGTACACCTGATCATTCAATGTAGAATATTGAAAGGGAGCTCGTTAGGGGACCGAACAGATTCATACTACAATTGTCAGGACAGAGGCAACATCTGCAATTATGGAATCTCAGTAGAGGAAAGCCAGTTCTTGGAGGCATCCTCAGGATGCACCCCACAAGTATCACAGTTCTCACAGCAGGGGATTCAGCAAGATGTTTTTAGCTCAGCAGAAGCTCCAGGGGTTGCACTGTGTAGGAGTAATACGAAATGGAAGAAAAAGACATTTTAGCATCACCAGGGAAATTAGTTTGGTGTTTATGTACGATTATTCTTCATCTCTCCATTGTCTAGTTATCTGCATTTTACTCCATCTTATATGTCAAATGGACAATAGCCTTTAGGTAAATTATATGGCAGAAGTAGAAGATGAGAGCTTGATGCCATTGGAATAGATGGATTATTGACTGCAGGAATGCTTTCTTCCTCCAGCATGTCCAGTCCTGTCTATAACTTCCTGTTTATAAATTACTTTGCATCACTAGCATTCCGGAAAAGCTTGCTGGTGTGGACCAAAGCCGTTGTGATTGAATCTTCCTCAGTCTAATGGCTTACTCAATGGGTATGATCATGCTCATAGGGCTATTGTTCCATCTTTTCTATGTATCAGTGGTATAGCTCCTCACAGGTGTCATAAGACACATTTTTGAGAGTATGGGAGGAACATAATGCTGTAAGTCCTGGCAGGGAATCTGCTGAGTAAACCTACTAAATCAGCCTGATGGTAGTAAGAGAACTTACTCTCATTAAGTTAGAGGCAGGCTGAGGCTTTGTTTGTGTCACTAAAGCCCCAAGTGAAGGATCTGGCAATGGGAAGGTGCTTGCAGGCTGAAAACCAACCCTTGCCCTTGATGCTCCCTGCCCTCTCTCCAACATACCCACCTCCCCACAGCCTCCATTACAGCCTCAAATCTATCTGTATCCAAGGATCTAGTGATGATCCTTGCTGAGGTTCCTAGAACATTACTGGCAGCAGCCAATTGGCCAAGTGTGCACTGTAGTCAGTGAAGTATTTCTGGCCTCTCATAAGCTAACAGCTCTTGGGGACAGAGGGAGGACAGGATTTCTGCCTCCAGGGTCTGAAATTGTTGTGGAGGCTCACCTTTAGGTAGTTGATGAGCTATTATTTTTGTCAGGTGTCCCCCATAGAAGCTGTGAAGGCTCCCACCAGTTCTCTGATTGGCAGACAATACCTTTCTTTGTTCACATGAATCTAGCCCAAAATCTTGTTTCCACTGAGCCTGCTTGAAG